GCGCTGGCTAGGATGAAATGGTGCTGCCCAGGGTGGTTCTGTGCACCAGGTTTTGGAATATGGAATTTCTATTAAGTGGGCGGACTATGGTTTTGCCGGGCATTGAGCGATGCTCTGGCCCTCGGGTAGGAGGTGTTTGACAATGGAAATTCTATTAAGTGGGCGGACTATGGTTTTGCCGGGCATGAGCGATGCTCTGGCGGACTTGACTGCAGCGGCTGCGCGATGCGCTGGCTCTCGGGTAGGGGGTGAGATGGTGCTGCCCAGGGTGGTTCTGTGCGCCAGGCTTTTGACCATGGAATTTCTATTTGATGTGGACTGCGTATGTTGCATGTCACAGCTTGCGCTTGCTGCTTGCATGGCATAGGCTTCTACACTTTTCGACGCCTCTTCCTTGGCACGCCACGCTGGTGCTTGTCGCGGCACTCTGCACAGATCCAATGAGCTAAAACGTCAACATGGTAGCGAGTTTCTTTTGGCCGTGGCCGACCGCACTGGTCGCACGGGGGATAGTTTCGCAGTGATTGGCACTCTGCGCAATTCCACGCTGCCACAACTGCGACGTGGTAGCGACTTTCGCGTGGTCGTGGCCGACCACAAGTGTCACACGGCGGATAGCGGCATTGCACGCACAAGGTATCTGCTATGGCCTGGGACTCGAGCGACTGACCACACTGGCTGCATGACTTCACTTTGCACTCTGCACAACTCCAAGTCGGTAAAACTTTGACGTGGTAGCGACTTTCGCGTGGCCGTGGCCGACCACAAGTGTCACACGGCGGATAGCTGCAGTGCATGCACAAGGTATCTGCTATGGCCTGGGACTCGAGCGACTGACCACATTGGCTGCATGACTTCACTTTGCACTCTGCACAACTCCAAGTCGGTAAAACTTTGACGTGGTAGCGACTTTCGCGTGGCCGTGACCGACCACAAGTGTCACACGGCGGATAGCTGCATTGCATACACAAGGTGTCTGCCAGGGCGTGGGACTCTAGCGGCTGACCGCACTGGCTGCAAGGCTTCACTTGGCACTCTGCGCAGCTCCAAGTAGGTAAAACCTTGACATGGTAGCCACTTTTTTGAGGCCGTGGATGACCACAGGATTCACACGGCGGATAGCTGCATTGCCTACACAAGGTGTCTGCCATGGCCTGGGACTCTAGTGAGTCGCCACACTGGATGCATGACTTGACTTTGCACTCTGCGCAAGTCCAAGTTGGTAAAACTTTGACGTGATAGCTTCTGTCATCTGGTCGTGGCCGACCACACACTTGACAAGGGGGATAGGCACATGCGGCACACCATGTGCCAGCTGTTGCAGTGGAAGGCAAGGGTTTGGCACAGTTACGACAGAGTTTAGGCTTAGCGACACACGCTTTGCATGTTCCTGTGTTGTTGTCGGCGGAGTAGTTGGAAAGGTTGGGAACGGCAACCACTTTCTCACACTGAACACAGCGGCCTTTCTTGCCCTGGCATTCCGGACAATGCCAAATTGGATTTTTCTTGGCGTGGAGCCGCCTCTTTCCTGCTTGAGGGCGTGGCTTACCACATCCGCCCGTGCAAGGAGGGTATGCACAGGGTTTGCACCACGTGCCTGGAGTTTGACTTGCCTTCAATGGCTGGCCACAGTTGGCGCAGGTTTTTGATGCCCGCGCTTGGTTGGCGACACAAGTGCGACACAGGCCCGTTTGCGACGCAGCAGTATAGTGCGTGAGATGCGACACACTCACGGTCTTATTGCACTCTCTGCACAAACCTTGTTTGGAGGTGGCTGCGACAGGGGTGGTAGCACACTTTTTGCAGCGAACGCGTCGCAGTTCTTTAGTTTTCTTTTTGCGTCTGACTTCTTCCGGGTCGAAGTCTGTCAAGCGTTTCGTTTTGATTTTCTTGCCTTGGTCACATCGGCTGCAGGCTAAACGTTCTGTTTTGACACACTCCGAACAATAGCCAGTTTTGTTGGCCGGTCTGGCTTCAGGGCAATATGGACAAGGATGCATTGCTTCAGGGAGACTGGGTGGTTGTGTTCCGCTCTGCTTAGCTTTGCATTGGAGACATAGGCGACACATGCCTTCGGATAAGACTTGGTACCATTCGTCCTGGTCCCATGCTGTGACAAATTCTCGCAGAGGCAGTAACTTCTCTTGTCGATGTGGCTGTGGGCTGCAGCCGCGGCAAAACAACATGATGTCACGGTTTCTTTTTTTGCTTGGTTTGTCTTGACTAAATCGAGCTTTTGCTTCTTGTGGCGTGAGCTTGCCGCGATGAACTTCTAGAAAAGTGTGTGGGCCTATCAATTCCCCATTGGTGAACAAGTTGGGGGAAAAGGGTTGGGCTATACACAAGTCTTCGGCTTTTCGAACTCGGGACAAGCACATGTAGCCGCTCAGTTGAGCCTCGCGGGACGCGGTGGAATCCCAGTGGCCGAGATTAAGCGTGCAGGCTTCTAGGGTGGAGCCCATGAAGGAATGCGCCGTCCCTGCGAAATCGCAGGCTAGGGGGAAACCCCGTCGAGACACTGTGGCTTTACCGTTGGTCTCCAGGGACCATGTTTGTGTCACGGCCTCTAAGCGAGCAACTCCTGGGGGCAGTTGTGCATGTTGTTGCCACGTTTGCCCGGGGACGTGGACGTACAGAGCTAGAGGCATTTTTTGAAGGACGATGTTATCTGCATCGCTCTGCGACGCTGCATCAGCGTCCGCCTCATGTAGCGTCCAATTCCAAAGTGTGCCTCAAGTATTTTTGAAGAGTCCAAATGCCTTGAGTTCTGGCAAGGTTTGCGTGATTCGGACGGGCATGTTTTGCAGCAAGGGCAACAAACCGACGACGCCACCTGTGGACTGGTCGTGGCGTTGCAACCAATTCTCCCGCCGGGCTGGTAGTTCGGGAGGTTCGATGTGAAAGAGTGGTGTATCTTGGGCTACTATCCAGAGTAGTTTTTCTCTCCGGGTGGCTGCCACTTGGCGAGCGCGAAGGTTGGCGGCTATGTATTTCGCTGCGTTGAGTCCATGCACAAAGGGATTGTTGAGAAACTTTGGGCTTTTCTGATCTTTGCCTACAAGACACCGACGTTGGCGTTCGGCTCGACACTGCTTGCATTCAAGCGGTTGCTTGTGAAGGGCTGCAGCTTGCAAGTGCAGGTCGGCGCAAGTTGTCTGCCCGCACTCGACCGTGTGGGTTTTGAAGTTCCAGGTGCCTGCGTGCAACGTCGGAAATCCATGGAGAAAAGACCAAATTTCTTGAGTCATGCTTCCGCGGCGCGCATGTTGCAGGACGACACTGAGCCATGGGTCTTCACAGCGTTGTTCTGTGGTCAGCTCGAATAGGTGTTGCATAGCCTTTGTGCCGCGTGTCCAAAACAGTTTCTGCAGGGCTGCAACTTGAAAGCTTCCATTTTCCCCGAAAGGGTTTTGGAAAATGGCGGTGGCTTTCACCGGGGGGAACTGCCAAAGGTCACCGGTCAGGATCAAGTTCAGACCTGCGAACGGCCGTTTTTCTCCGCCGGGCCGAAGCTTCCAAGTATCTTTGTCTCGGATCGATTGTTGAAGTTTTTTTTCGACCGTGGCAAGAATTTCGAGACCGACGGTCGAAGTCTCGTCAACTAAGATCCAACGTAAACGTTGATACTTGACGAATTGGTCTGTGGTGTGGGCGCTGCCCGGGGAGGCCTTCTTGGCTCGAACACGGATGTTCGCGAAGGCGTGGAGGGTGACACCGCCAATGAGCGCGGCCTGAGTGTTCTGCGGAGCTAGGAAGACGAATTGGTGCTGATGCTCCCAGTGGCAAATGTCCTCGAAAAAGCTGCGTAGCCACTTGAGAGTTTGGCTTTTGCCGGCCCCCGGCGCGCCATGGAAAATGGCTCGCAAGGGCTCGGTGTCGGCCGTGCCCGCGTGCTCTTCGGTGGCCTCTTGCAGACAGCGTTGGATGACAGCGCGTAAAAACTTCAGTTGTTCGCCGGTGGGTCGGCAGTGGCCGTCGGAACTTTGCAAGTTGGTGAGCCAGGCTTCCGCGGCTTCGGACGTCAAGTTGCCATATGTCCACGTCAAAAACTGCTCTGGAGGTGACTGGGTATGGGCGTGAGCGATGCTCTGGCTGTGATCTGGCTTGATGTTGGGCACGCCTGTGTTGACGGGTTTCAGGGATGCGGTGTAGTCTTCCGAGTCAATTTTCCATTCCTCGATAATTTCATGGGCTGCGGCACTGGAACGTTTCGAGTACTCAAAACCGACTCCGGTGATTAGCCGATGAATGGTTTCGTTGCTGACCCAAGATGTATCCACTTCCACCTTGTCTCGGTTGGACGGAGGCTCTATTGCGTCGGCCTCCTCGGGATCACATTCGGTGGCTGCAATGAAATTGCGAATTGTTCTGGCCGCATGCTCCGAAACAATGTGGTTGGCGACGTACTCTGTCCAGGCCACGTGGTGACTTCTTTGGCCGGCAGCACTCTTTGTGTGGATGCGGGTCAGACGACGAGCGCTCCTAACCGCAAAGGGTAAGTCTAGTGCCGCTATGTGGGGCACGTGAAGAGTAGAATTAGGGAGGTCTAAGGTCCACGGCCGAAGGTAAACATTAAGCAACCTAGCTTGGGCTTCTCGTGCCATATCGGGCTTCGGTAGTGGACAGACTGTGGGGTATGGGACGCAAGGTTCGCGGCGTCGTTCGAGATAGTGGTCTTGTGCAGCTTGACACTGAGGTATTTCCGGCAGGCGAAGAACGGTGTCACGCCGGGCAGCAGGCAACGAATCCTTCCAGACAAAATCTCGTCCGAATTTCCAACCGTCGGCTGGTTTCTTGGTTTGGCCTGCCCCATTGACCCAAACACTTAAACCTGTGTCGGACTCAGCGTTTTCTCCATGGGGTGGTTGCAATTTTTCACTGTCCACCATTTCACAAACTCCCACGGAGATAAAAACCACACTCTTGGATCTGTACCTCTCCAACCATATACTTCTGAAAACTTGATGGTCGAACTGTGTGGGTTGGAAGGCTTTACTCTTTGACGGGTTTCTGTGAAATTATCGAGGATGCTTAGCCATTCTGTGCCTACAAAGGGGACTACGGGAAAACTACGAATGCACTCTGCAGAGGTTGGTTCGGTGGAGGTGGCGAAACCGGCCAACATGAATTCTTCGGTCATGGGCCGGGTGGAGCAACGAAATTCAAGGTCCCCAAGCACTCGATGTGCGACTTTCCGCTGCTGCGCAGCTGGGTCGTCTGCGGCAGCGGTTTCTAAGAAATGCAACTGTTTGGCTGCATTCTGTAACTCTTTCCGACCCAATGGTTGGGGCTTTTGCAAGTAGCCTGTGAAGTATCGTGTGGAACGGCGAGCTGCTTGTGCCATGGCGCGTTGTAGCTTCGGGAGTAAATTGTGCGCGAGACATCCGCGGGCACACTCTGCGTCATGGGAGGCAGCACTCAAAGGAACCCGAAAGTTCACCGCAGTGTGCGAGTTGCCGAACAACATGAGCGTAAAGGCATACATTGTGCCGGATAACCAAGGATCTTCTCGCTTATCCAAAATTGTACCTAAAGCATTTCTCCGGCCAGCAGTACTCAATCCAAATTTCCGAGCATTGCCTCGGCATATGACTCGACCGCGGTCGTTCTGCACCTTTGGGAAGCTATGCTTACACTTATTGGGAGCATTTTTCTTGCGGCAAGCACTGATCGGTAACCGACACTTTTGCACAACGCTATAAGGATGCCAGTGTATCTGCTGATGGCTGACTTTGCTTTGTGCGACACGGCGGTAGGTCTCGATGAATGTCTGGGCTTCTTGCACTGCTCGGGTAGCCACCATGTCATCCAACCAAGGGCTCTTTGCGTCATCTGTTTGGATGAAGTTTGGCCAATGGCAAAGAAAATCGTGCTTTTCGTGGCTGTTCTTCTCGTTCCAGGCGGCTTCTAGTTCTTCTTGCTGTGCATTGTGGAAATTGTAGTCAGGATGAGTTTCTGGATGTATCCATGTGAGAAAGTGTTTCACGTCGTCGAACTCGATAGTTCGGTTGTTCTATTTCTCCGCGAGTTCGTGGAGCGGTTGCTGCCAAATGGATGCACTGTAGACGTTGCAGTGAAAGTGCGGAGTCGAATTTGTTTGATATTCGATGGCGCCACAGAGGCCGCGCACGAGGCCGAACAACCCCCCGGTGACATGGCAGCCGTTCCCGCTGGCATCCCGGCAGTCACAGGCGGGACAACGAAAGCACATGCGAATGCCGAGCAGCTTTGCGAAAATGCAACGAACAATGGTTTGGAAGCTGAGAACTACGGCCCACGGGTCTCTGGCTGTCATTTGCCGTCGGGTATCATAGGGGGGGACGAACATGGTTGCATTGGCGGATTCCCATATTTCTGGGCAGGTCCGCTTTCCGAAGACCGTGCTGCCTGGGCCGGCTTGTCGGTATCGAGAGAATTTGATGTACAGCGCATTGTGGCGGGAGGTGGGTGAAATTGTGATGAAAAGAGGTTCTCCCAGCTCTACTCTAGCTCCAAAGAGAAATCGACCGATGCGACGGCGAGATTCTATGGTTCCGGGCATATTTCTTTGCATGCTGCGAACGTCTTGCAAGAGGTGGTGCTCTTCTGACGTCAAGCCTTTGGCGTAGGGCAACTTTCTAGTATCAAAGTGTATGGGTTTGTATTGACCACTAGCGGTTAAGTATGTGCCACTGCGCAACTTATTATAGAGCCCTTTTGCCGCTTCCACCCACGAAGCGGTAGGGGTTGCTTGAACGCAGTCTCTCTGGCTTGGTCTTTTTCGCCAGAGAATTCCATTGCAGACTGACTGCCATTTGAACGTCAGCCGTCGCAAACCGGGTACGAAGTCCCAGGAATTACGAATAGAGCTCTCAACACGGCCGGCCAACAACTTCAAGTGCGCCAGAGGATTTAAGTTTGGCGCATGCACTGGGCGTCGAGGTCTTGTTTTGTGGGGAAAATCAGGGCCACTGACAGGCGCTGGAAGGCTGAAGGGGAATGCCCATGGTAGAAAATCGTTTTGCCATTGATCCCAAAAAGTATGCCCGGTTTCGACCGTGACTTGATCGGCAGCGTGTGCAAGTTCTTGTAACCTTTCTAGATCTGGGTCCCTCCAGTCGGAAGTTGCGTAGTCTTGGGATAGGACGTTTGGTCGATGCACTCCCGTGAAAGCTTGGCCATCCAGTGCTGCGGACGCCGCCGTTTCTGGCGTCGCATGCTTCTGCGGCGGCGCAGCTCGGCTGGTCTGCGAGTGCATGCTTGCGGACAAGGTTTTTGCAGTGCCTACCGCTGCAACGGACACGACCGGTTGGACGTATTTTTTGTCGGTTGTCGTTCGAGTTTGACAGTTCGTTTTTCTGACCCCTCGACCTCGACGACGGCAATGCACGGGTTGTCGTCGGCTGCGACGACAATCGGTGCGCCCCGAGCGATGCTCTGGGCGTTGTCGGAGGCCACAACTGAGAGCTCGGTTGGTGTGGTGGAGACTGTGGTGTGTGCCAGTGCGTGCTGGCTCTGACTCGGATCACGAGAAAGCTCGCTAGGCAGTAGCCGCGCACCCACGACGAGGCTATGGTCGTCGGTCGTGACGATGCTATGGTCGCCACTTGCAGTGTCTACGGCTACCTTTGACAGCTTTGCGTCGGGACGTGCCTCTGCAACGGGCTTTGAGGCTTGGCCACTGTGCCGTGCACTGGCTGGTGGGCTTTGCTTTGGCGCTGCCGGACGCGAGCGCGAAGACTTGGTGGGTCGCGCTTTCTGACTGTCTTGGGCCGACGAGAGTGGCGCGGCCACAGGCATGTCTTCGGGAATGCCTTCCCCGAGCGGCATTGTCTCTTCCGTGCCATATATATTTGTGACACGTTGTTTCACTTCTTCTTTTGCTTTCTCCGGGGAGATGTGATTGTCACACATTGGATGCTGCAAGTCGATCAAATGTTGCAACAATGCAACGACCACCCATGGTCGGATCCGTGCGCCGGCCACCCACTCTATCGCCTCATTGCGAAGCATGCCTTTCACAGTAATCTTAACCAGGGCTTGCATGACTTTGCGCGCGTGCGGCAAGTTTGTCCACGGCATGCTAGTGTTTGCTTGTGGAGCGAACGCTTGCAAGACTTCTTCCCAAGGTAAGCTAAATGAAGAAACATTACCTCGAACGGCAGAACGATGCTCCGCGCGGTGGAGGGTTTCTTCCACCAGGTGCCCTCTGTCTGCTTCCACATAATAAGTGACGACGGACGTCCACACTGGGCTAGCGGCGGCTGCTTCTATCCACCGCACTTTGTGTTTGTATAACAACTCTGTGGGGTAGCCGTACCAGTTGTCATTGGCTAGAGCTTGTGGAACTGCAAGAACATGTTTGTCGAACATCTGCACCAGGCATTGGTGGCAGATAGGAAGCTCACATGTTTCGCAAAGCTGCCCATTGCCTACATCACAAGCTGTGCAGCGCAAGTCTTCTGGGCAACGCACAATCTTTTGGCCATTGTATAGAGAAGCAGGCAAAAGGCGTGACCACTCATGTGCGTCAAAGCGGTCACGGACGCAAGCACTGGTGGCGTACTGCTTCATGTATGTATCCAAATTCCAGTTGCAGGTGAAGCTTTCTGGAGAAAGGGAGCCGAACAACTCCGCTGCGGACAAATAGCCCTGAGGATCCGATATTGAAAAAAATCAATATTGGAAAAAATTTTCAATAATATTGAACTTGATTTTTTTCAATCGTAGGATTGATCTTTTTCAATATTGGGGATTGAAAAAAAATCAATATTTTTGATCAATATCGACCAATATCATGATCAATATCCAGACCAATATTACAACCAGTATCAAGGCCAATATCAATGTCAAAATCAGGCAGTTCATGATGCCCTATAGCCATGATCTATCAACATCAGGCAGTTCATTTTCAAACAAAGCCACATGCACTGGCAGCATTTGGCTTACAGGTGCGTCCATGTGTTTAAGGGCAGAGGGCTTGAAAGAAAGCCATGTCCAAGGGTGGTGCCAGGAGATTTTCTGTGCCACCAGTGGATATGGATGCCCTGCAAGGCATCATTGACAGGGCTGTGGAGTCCAAGGGCGCTGCAGCTTTTCTATTAGGTGAATACGACACCAAAAAGGTGACCACTGCTGTGAGTGCAGCAGGCCTACATCAAAATGCCGCATGGGTGAAAGATTTTTTCAATATCTCAAAAGGCGAGATCTTGGCAGGGCAACTGAAGCAGTGCATTCAAAAATATGGTCACTCCCACAACACCAGTGACTGGAAAGACGACCTCTGGGCTGGGAAAATTGCAAGCCAGATGGTTTGTATTCTGAGCCATGTGAGGAGGCTGGGGAGGGAACCTGATAAGCTGAGGCAATGCCTGCAAGGTGCCACAGGGGCCCAAAGGCACACCATTGAGGAACTTGTGGCCTTGTGTGCTTGCAAGAAAGCAAATGAGCCCCCCC